CAGCGTCTATGAAGGGTGGGGGCCACAGATATAAATCAAACTCAAAAGGGAGCCACGAGCAAAAAAAAGTTGAGAAACACTGCTCTAGTCTATAAACAGATTTCTAACTCTTTCTCAAACAAGGTTTTAAAACAATATTTCTGAGGTATGTTGTATATTTATAAATAAAATACTATTAGACACATTAACCATTAACATTTTCAGACTTGCTTTCCAGAATATTAATAGAGCAATATCTGATACTTCCAATACCGTAAATCAAGCACAAACAGGTATATGTCTTAAAAATAACTAACTACCTCTATGTAAAAATATAGAAAGATAAACTTGTTAAAACTATGATTTTGAGTAGATCGATCATAAAGATGTCTGTTATATGTATATAAATAGTATTAATACTATAAATAATATCAAAAGTATATAGGCGATAAACATCAGCAACTATATAACATTGATGAAAGTTAGTATAAAAATCAAAACCTAGATGGTGTTATGATACTAGCAAAAAATAAAACTGGCCATTGCTAGTTCCTGTCATTATCCTTTAACCTCTAACGAACGGCTTTGCTTTTGTTAGACTGATAACACTCATTTCGGTTTATATTTATATATGCAACTGGTTTGTAAGGCGGTTGTTATGACAGATTTGTTAAGATATATATGACCTAATCACACTACATATACCTTTTTTAGCCACGGCAAAGCGGCTCATAAAATGGCTCTGAGTTTCTTTGCTATTTTTTTCAAGTACAAAATATTAGTTCATAGCTCCTTCTCTTGACCTATTTGAGATCTAATTACAGGCGCGGCTATTTAGGATTCCCTCTTGTTTAGCTGCGGCATCGTGGCTTATAGAATAACTCTCAAGTACAAACTTTTAGCTCATAGCCCCTTCATCTCTTGATCGATTTGAGATCTAATTATTAAATGAAAACAAAGCATTTGATATAAAAAATATTGTGAATTTTTATGATAATTACTATTTAGACCAAACTGAAAACATTGGAAACTGAAGAGAGTGAAATTTCGGCGAAATAATTATGTTCAGCAATTGCAAAATTAGCGAAAATCGATGAATAGCCTTGCCATTCAATGAATACGTTAAAAGTAGCGTGAACAAAAATATCTCTTTATTATACCTCTCCTTCTGCTAACTGTAATTCGAAACGAAAGCCCAAGTAATCAAAGTTTCCACTCGAAATGCTCTTAAAATTGAGCAGATAAGTTAATTTATATTAGCTGAGGCTGAGCCGCTCACAGAACGGCTCTGAGTTGTTGTTTTTTCTTTTCCAAGTACAAACTTTTATTCCATAGCAACGTCATCTCTTGATCGATTTGAGATTTAATTACAGGTTTGGACTCAGAGGTCAAACCCTTTCGATTAATATATTTGCACACGCCCAAAACTGGTAGAGATCCTGATGAGTAATAAAACTGAATCGGGTATACGCGCGCCCTACGCTTGGTTTCTTTTTGTTTGTTTGTTTGAAGTTAAGCACAAAGCTACACAATGGGCAATCTGTGCGGGTATCGAAACCCGGTTTATAGCGTTGTAAGTCCGCAGACATTCCGCTGTGCCACTGGGGGACCCCACGCTTGGTATTGCTGGCGCACAAAAATATAGCTAATAAAAAGGTAAACAAAATTCTCATAGATTAATTTACTCTAATCCTGCCTAAAAGAATTTCAAGTGCCGCGACTATTGAGGATTCCCTCTTGCTTATCAGTTTATTTTGTGAAAAGATATAGAACATTCTATTGCTCAAAATCTCTTGGTGTTCAAATTAGCAGGGCATCCTACAATTTAATATTTTAATATCAAAGTTTTATCCTTAAAATGGTCAGCTATTTGTTTTATCACGAAATATTCTACAAACAGATCTGCCATAAAAGAGATATTTAAATGTTTCTAAACATTTAGTAAAAACTAAAATACCACTGTAATATTCAAGAGTTTTACAAAATCGGGTTGTGAACAAAAACTCTTTGAAATGGCTCAGGTGAAATAAAAAAATTTAAAAATACGGTAAAGTTTTAAAATTTTACTGAAAATGTGCTTTAAGGAAAAGTTCACTCAAACTCTAGAACTGTGGGACAACTTTAAAAGAAAGTTTCTTGAAACTTTACAGCTGTTGGACAGTCCGTTTCGAAGAATAGGTTTTATTTGAAACTGTAAAGGAAACAACTCCGAAGAAAATGGAAATACCTAAAAATCGCCGAACAAAATTAAAAAACGCCTGACTGGGATGTAAAATAAAGAAACTTGAGGAGTCAAAAGAAAAAAGTTTGATTTCCAATGTTTCACACAGAACCTTGACACACACACAGTAGATAATGTAAATACCTCATTAAAAATAGGAAAATTCAGTATGCAATATTTCATATAGAACCTTGAGATAGGTAGTAGAATCTAAAACCCTGACAATAAAAAGTTCTGTTTGGAATATTTCACAAATAACTTTGAGACACGTAAAAGATCTAAATACCTCATGAAAATAGGAAAATTCTGCTCAGAATGTTTCACACAGAACCTTAAAACACGTAGTAGAAGATAAAATGTTTCACTAATAAATAGAATGTTCTGTTTGAGACATTCTTTATAAAACTCTCTAAGGAGACATTTTTTCCTCTATTTTTCCAAGTCTAATGAGCTTATACTTTGAAGCTTGCACAAGTCCTTCACTTGATTACAATTTTACAGGAAACTTCGTAGACAGCAGTGATTCCACCTCTGAAATGTTTGTTTTGTCATTGTGGTTCACTGAACATATTTTTTTTAGAGCTTTACAGAAACAAATAATCCAACAAAACAAGTTCCAATGTTTAAAAGAATAAAGCTGCATATGTAGAAAGCCATGAAATATGGTGCTACAAAAATTGAAGTCGAAGATAAGCTAAAAAACAATAGACGCTACGTGATATTCTAGTTCACTCGAGGTCATTACCGTGTCGTATTTCCAGACACTAACACGAGAGACAACGTTTTGACGTTAGCGTAGTTCTTTTGCTGGTGAATACAATGTAATTATACCAACAAAAAACCAGTTTATTATTACAGAGTAAAGATGTGCGTAACATGGAATTGAGGAACAGGTTGTGTCGTCTATAGTTCACCTTCAGAGAATTTTTCAAGGCGACTTTCTGAGAAGAAAGTACGTCTGTTTGATTGGCTGAGCACACATGATGTCATTTTCATCGCTTACCTGATCAGAGAATGTATCAGAGGTGTTAGCGACCTAGGTAAGACACACGAAGTAATCAGGGAGGAGCCACATCTTCCGTGAGAGACACGTCATTGCACGTGTATCCTGGCATTGTTGACCTTCCACGTCACTTTCAAGGTCCACTTAGTTGTGAGATGAAGTCCCCTACTGGACGTATGCTTGGGCAGTGACACATAACCCCACCTCCCTAGTAGACCATCTATACTGTGTGGTTATAAACGATGCTCAAACTCCAAAAAGGGCTCACAATTGTGTCTTCATCAAAGAACAACGGCTACTGTTGATGTTTTCCACTCTCACTCACCTCTAAAGTATATTCATCTTTACTTCTTTTCTGAGTTTTTGGAGTAGATATTTCTAAAGATATCCAGTTTTGTTTATCAAAGCTTTCTAAAGAATACTATTTAATAAAGTAGTTTTCTTACACACCATCACCATGAAACTACTGGTAAGTAAGTAATGAACCATCATTACACGGTAACTATATTTACGCCATTTTAGTATTAGTATTAGTTTTGTAATGTTAAGTAGAGGTAGTTAAAAACATTTTGAGCAAACGAGACTGAGTACGTATAAATTTATTTTCAAATTTAGATAACTATTTAATATAGACTTTTGATAGTAGTACAAGGTTTTATTATGCAAATTAGGTTTATATAATTCAAAAAATTATGAACGCGAAACATTTCTTGCTTCATCAGAAGTACTTACATTTATTTACTTATAGTTTCGTATATCAATTACGTTACTAATCAATCAATCATGTATAATATATATGATTTGACATTATTTGTTTCTTATTTTTATTATTTTTTATCTCCAGAACTAACCAATCATGAATAGATTAAATACGTACAAATAGATAACATCAATCTTTCATTCATAACAAGCATAATGTACTTTAATATCTGATATACGTCATCATTTTTATTCATCAAACAACATAAAATGGAATGTGTTTTATTTTCTAAATAAATCACTCTGTTCATTTCGTTTATATCTAATGAAAAACAAGTTAGGTGTGAAAAAAAAAATGTGCGGCCAAAAAAGAATTGAGCGTGTCACACCTAAGGTGTTTTTGATTAGATATCATGAGTTTTGTCAATACACACCAACAAACCACAGCAAGAAAGAAAGTGACATTCGATAGTAACCAACATTAGCTTTAGGATCGCAACCATATTATTCGGAACAGACCTTTACTTTACAGAACCAACCAGATTCTTTAACATATATGATGGTAGTTTTCCTCTCTAAAACAGTGTTAATAACTTCCATTTTAGTAACGCCATGGAATCCAGTTTAACAGTTTCTTGTCATCACCCCCATGCACTCGGTACAGCCGTATCAAGCATCATTACTTACGCTAATTGCTTAAGTTAATATTATGTGACTGGTTTGCTTGACCTCACAAACATTAAGACTAAAAATTGTTTTCTCTAGATGATAATATAATTCTTATAATACACAGGATTACTTAATCAATTACACCTTAACTATAGAATTGTTTGATACACAGGATTACTTAATCAATTACACCTTAACTATAGAGTTGTTTGATACACAGAATTACTTAATGAATTACACCTTAACTATAGAGTTGTTTGATACACAGGATTACTTAATGAATTACACCTTAACTATAGAGTTGTTTGATACACAGGATTACTTAATCAATTACAGCTTTACTATAGAGTTGTTTGATACACATGATTACTTAATCAATTATACCTTAACTATAGAGTTGTTGCATTTCAGATTTTTTGTTCCCTCCTCATGTGGGAACAATTAGTTTTTTGCACAGAAGACTTGAACAAACGACCAAATACTTCCAGCGACAGTTTTGGATCCACGAGCTCTGGCGATTACGATCGGTATCCTTATGACAAATACGATGACCGCAGAACAAAGAACAACACCTACGGCTCCTCCTATGGTGATTCAAGCAGCGGAAAGTACCCTTACGACAACCATTATACAAGCAGCGGAAAGTACCCTTACGACAACCATTATAATGACCCCTACAGCAGTAGTTATGGTTACGGAGGAGGTTATGGTGATCAGTATGATGATTATAGGAATCGATACAACTCTCTTTATCATTCTCGTTATGGTTCTGACAACCGTTACTATGGGAACGGAAATGTGCACTACTTAAACGAGCCAAAGTATCCTCCCTACTGGTATAATCGGTATGATGAAAGAAGTGATAGGTATCGATACAGTCCTTCATATTATTCAGGCCTACGTGAAAGACCTGATAATCGTTACAATGGAAACGGATATTCACTTTACTTAAACGAACCGAGAGGTCCTCCTTATCGATATTATGATACTCCTAAAAGGAATTATCCTTACGATTTAAAACACGCATATCGTAGCCATCCTGAAGATCATCGTGTCTATTACAACATTGAAACTGGAGAATTTAGAGTATCAGATGATGACCAGTATTCTGCTCCTAATCGTCCCGATTACTCACCATCTGGTTTTCACGAATCTCGCTACGAAGATTACAGAAATAGCTTAGGTTCTGGGGCGGCTTATCCTCCTTTATATCATGGGTATAATGATTTTAGACCAGGATTTCGGCGAGGTTATATTAAAGAAGAGTCCAGTGCGGATGTTCTCACTGGAAAAGAGTAACTTTTTAAATAAGTTAAGGTAAGTTTAGCAGGAGTAAATTAAAAAATTCTTCTCAAATTGTAAGGTAATAAAACAACTAGAACTCTTACCCAGATGTGAGAATAGAATTGAACCATAACTACATGTTTGGTGACTAGACAACTATAAATCCTAACGATTAGAAAAGGAAGCCCAGGTAAACTAACTTTATAGGATTATGTATTTTTTGCAAGTAAAGGTATTAATGAAGATAGAAATGTTCAATGTAACAGCATTACTATGTTTAATATTTTTGTTCAAACCCTGTCATAGCGTAACTTCATTTATGTCACTATTTAGTATTAAATGGTCTATAATTTAAATATAATATAAGCCTAAATCAATATACTCCGTTGAGGTGAAAACAAAACAAAACATATTTTGACAAATGTTTATTATAGTGTATTGTACAAAATCATAAAATGAAAAGTGTTGTGCTGTTAAGTTGTAAACGACAATCCGTGAAGGTGGTGCAATTTTTTGTGGCAACGAATTAACGTGATTGCTGGTGCAACAATAAATTCAAACCTTTTCAAGATCATTAGTGTTAAGGGGCCACACCCGTATCTGTCGAACACAAAATCAACACAGTAGAAAGGAAACAAATAACTTTATGGTCGACAAAACACCTTGTGGACCTTAAATTAGACTTAAACGGGTTTTAAAATTCAGTAGACTAAAAACTAGTAAGGTATAAACTGTTTCAGGAGAAAAAAAGGGGGTGGCAATGAAATTATCCTGTTTTGTGCTATGTAGCGACAAGTTTCCAGGCGTTGCTATGACATATCATGCATTAAGGATGAGAAGACAAGGAGACAAAAATATTATAATTAAAAACACGTTAAGAAATGACACGCCATATTCGTTTACAGAAGGAAAGCAAACAGACTTGGATCTTCTACTTTTCTATTTAGTCTAATTATTTGTGACTTATTCGAAGTTTTCTATAATCCAGGGTTACGACATTAAATAGGCAGTCGTTATGTTTTTATAAGTTGCTATACTTGTAAACTTTAATCTTATACGCACTGTATTACAAATACAAACTGTAAACTAAACCTCATTAAATCTGCAAGTACTTACACATTTTTATTGTTGTTCAAGAAATCAAATGCTAGACACAGGGTAAGGTATTTCCGCTAAGAAACCATATGTGAATACACCTGAGCTGACAATAAGAAACCATGTGGCTCTCCATGATCTGACAATAAGAAACCATATGGCTGTACATGATCTGACAATAACAAACCATATGGCTCTCCATGATCTGACAATAAGAAACCATATGGCTGTACATGATCTGATAATAAGAAACCATATGGCTGTACATGATCTGACAATAAATAACCATCCAAATGCTAGACAGAGGGTATAATTTTTTTAGAAAAAACCAACAGAAACTGTAAAAATAACTATCTTTGATATTATAACTACCTTACCACGGGTTTGCTTAACATTTTTTACTGAACGTTGGCAAATTAATTGAATGCCGAACCACAGATATGTGGGCGCACTTTTCGCGTCCCGTTACCGTCAAAAGAAAACTAATCGTGCTCCACGTTTTGGGTACTTGGGAGTATTACTAGGGCTAAGATCAAATTTCGCTATTCAATACAGTAATAGTAGCTCAAAAATTTGCGGTGGGCACTACTGACCAGCTGCCTTCCTTCTGATCTATTTGTTCAAAATTAGGGACGGAGAGCGCAGATAGCCTATGAGTAGCTTTGCGTGAGCATCACAAAACAAGCTCAATGCTTTTTGTCTTTCAAGTAACCAAACACAAAATGAGAAATAATACCTCACTGAGACTAGAAGTTTATTTTGTTTTAAAAACCAATTCTTGTCATTCGTTGAGAAATAGAGGTCACTGTCGTCGTATTTTACTGATTTTACCTGAAATTATCGAGATAAAAGTCGTTATATATATATACTGCTTAGACAACTTTTTTCGAGGTCAGTGTCTCTGCCTCAAGCGATTCAAGTTAAAGAACAACAGCTTGGAGGTCAGCGCCATCTTTAAAATGTTATTGAAACCTTAATTAACGTTAGCTGTGCACAAAGGATAGGGGAACCGATCCAAGCAAGCGACCTAAGACACGTCTTCGATAGTCATCGACATACCACACGTTAGTGGAGCATACGTGGCCTTAGAGTCACGAAGATATAATTTTCGTGAGAAAATTCTCGAGGAAACAAGATGTTTGTTGATTTTCGTACAAAGTCACTCAAGGGTCGTACCTAATTTTGAAGTGATAAACTAGAGAGAAAACAAATAGTAAATCCCATCCACCGCCAACTCGTGGGCTACTCTCATCAAATAGTAGAATTTGACTGTTACTTTTATAACTCACCCAATGACCTAAAGTGCAGAGAGAGATATTTCTTTTGTCGATAATGGGACGTGAACCAAATGACCTTGGATCAAAAGTCCGAAACGCTAACCAATAAGCCGCGATTTGTCAACTGGAACAAAGAGATAATGTTTTTTTAAGCGTTTATTGTTTGAGCATGTTTATGTTTCAAACTGGGAAAACTTTTATTTTATTGCTAAAGCTAAATAAATTGTGCATCATGTCGCAGAAGGGGTATTCTGTTTATAGGTGTGTGTAATATATTAATACTAATATGATAATGTCAAACTGTGTAGTTTGTTTTGTTTACCACTATATTAATTTACGTTTTTTTTTTTTTCTTTTTTCCACAATAGCCTCACATCGGACCTGTTTTACATATTCTACGTTAAGAAGCATTCCACGATTTCTTGCAGTGATATACGTTTTAGCTTGTTTCGATATTTCGATTTTCAGTGAAAAAATACTGTATCTTTCAGGCAATTGTTGACAGCAGTGCTTTTGATATTTCCTGCATAAGTTATGAAAAAGTTTTGGTTTTATGTTTAATATTGTTAAAATATTCGGGTTTTTGTATGTGACTTACGGTTCTTAAAAATAATAAAATTGTGAAAAACTTTGTTGTTTTTTTCTTCATTTAATCGTTTCATTAAACAACTGACAAACCACAAAATAATTATTAACAATCCACAAATAACGGAAAAAAAAAAGTTCAAATTGTGGATATTCGTATCAGAGGCCGTATTTCAATTTACAATTTTAATTGGTTTATCAGGAAATTTCTACCAACCGTTTTATTTTTAGTATTTATGTGTATTGTTAAGTATTCATAATTATAAAGGTAAAGAAAACCTCATAATAAAAATAATAAAAAAAAAATATTAAATGTGTTGAAATTGATTCTTTATTTGTAATTAGTCAATGTGTCCTCCCACAACTATTGTTCTCCATCATGCTCTATCATAGCTGCCTTTTCTAATTCAAGCTTTTCATCTCCAATCCACTTTCTAATGCTATCGAGCCAAATAAATTTGCCCTTTCTCTCGCTCTTGTTCTTTCTCCTTCATTTTTCCTCATCGGTAATTATGTGTCAAAGTAGTGCATCTTCCACTTCCTACGTATGTCTAGCAGTTGTCGTTATATCTTTGTATGTCTAGCAGTTGTCGTTATATCTTTGTATGTCTAGCAGTTATCGTTATATCTTTGTATGTCTAACAGTTGTCGTTATATCTTTGTATGTCCAGCAGTTGTCGTTATATCTTTGTATGTCTAGCAGTTGTCGTTATATCTTTGAATGTCTAACAGTTGTCGTTATATCTTTGTATGTCTAACAGTTGTCGTTATATCTTTGTATGTCTAACAGTTGTTGTTATATCTTTGTATGTCTAACAGTTGTCGTTATATCTTTGTATGTCTAGCAGTTGTCTTTATATCTTTGTATGTCTAGCAGTTGTCGTTATATCTTTGAATGTCTAACAGTTATCGTTATATCTTTGTATGTCTAGCAGTTGTCGTTATATCTTTGTATGTTTAACAGTTGTCGTTATATCATTGTATGTCTAGCAGTTGTCGTTATATCTTTGTATGTCTAGCAGTTGTCGTTATATCTTTGTATGTCTAGCAGTTGTCGTTATATCTTTGAATGTCTAACAGTTGTCGTTATATCTTTGTATGTCTAGCAGTTATCGTTATGTCTTTGGATGTCTAACAGTTATCGTTATATCTTTGTATGTGTAGCAGTTGTCGTTATATCTTTGTATGTCTAGCAGTTGTCGTTATATCTTTGCAGGTTTCAAAGCTGTTCTTCAACATTCGGTTCTAACAACACATTTCAGATGCTTTCATCTGTCATGCTACTTCAGCAGACAATATCAAAGTTTCCAACCAGTACAGCAGCACTGTCCATACGTAACATTTTAGTAGTCTCTTCTTCAGTTTTAGTTTGACGTCTCTCTTGAGCAGTTCTTTAAGATTGAAGAATGTTCTTTTTGCCATTCTTATCCTTCCCTTAATCTCTTTTTCATTCTTGCCATCACCACTAGTATTCGTCCCTGAAAGGATGAGTTTTCTATTCAACGTTTTCATTCTTCTGTACAATTCTTACATGCTTTGTGTTGCCTCGAATTTCTCGGTTTCTAAAAGTTTCTCGTTCAAATACCCACTCTTTGCTTACCTACACAAATGCCCGATTTCTTTATTAAGAAACTCAGTCGCTTGTGTACTCAAACAAAGTATCAGTTTATATACCTCCATACATGTATGTCCTTCCCTCTTGATGGTTGCCTTCATTCGTCCATTTTTTTAGAATTTCGTCATTCATACAAATTTTGTTTTTACCCCTTTTCTTTTTTTTCCCACAGTAGTTCCTTGTGACTCCTATGACTTCTATCTGAACATACCCACTGGTCAAACCTTTTCAATTCATATATTTGACCACGCCAAAGATCTCATAGTTTAATCTACTATAATCCTGCCTAAAATAATTTCAATTTAACGATAGGCTGGTAGAAACCTGATGAGTAATAAAATCCAATCGGAAATATAGACGCGCTCCACGCTTGGTATTGTTGGCGCACAAAAATATAGATAATGAAAAGGAAAAAAAAATGTCTCATAGATTAATTTACTCTA